TTTCCTTTCCTTTCCTTTCCTTTCCTTTCCTTTCCTTTCCTTTCCTTGAAATATGTTAACAATACAGAATTGCACACTATTTTTAAAATATTTATTTTACAAATTATAAATTAAAATATATTAAATAATCTATTTGTTAATCATTGGGCAATCCCAAATAATTTCTCATTTATAAACTTGTTTAATTAAAGGGGATTAACTATGTTTCCTAAAGCATAGCCCAAACTGCTATTTAAGATCATTCATCTAAGCAGTAAAGAGAAACAAATTTGTAGCAAAATTGACCCATGGTTGATATAACAAAATATACATACAGACACATGGTTTTATACACACAGTTCACTGTGTGCTAAAACAAAATCTTGAGAACAACAATTCCAGCAGTGACACCACTAAACATAAACCATTCTCTTTTTGCTAAATGAGAGTTTTCTGAGTTTATTGTTTATTTGTACATACTAGAAGTATGCTTTTAAATTGGAGGAGGAGGAAAAATAAAATCTCTAGAAATGTTACTTGGAGGGAGTTGGCTGTGGCAATGAGATCTCATGGATTATTCTAAGCCAGGGGTGTCAAACTCGTGGCCTCATGTGACGTATTGGGACTTTTTTTCCCCTTTGCTAAACAGGGACATGGGCCCATTTTATCACTTCTGGTATTGCCGTAAATACCAGAAGTGACGAAACGGGCCTCTTTTTTTGGCCTCCAAAGGCTGCAGAGGCTTCCCTCAAGCCTCTGGGAGGCCGAAAAAGGCCTCAAATGGGCCGAAAACCAGCTGGGAGGTGCACGCATGTGCAGTGAGGTAAGTTTGCCTGGGGCTTGCATGACCGCACAAATGGCTCTGTGTGCCACCTGTGGCACGCGTGCCATAAGTTCACCATCACGGCTATAGACTGTGAAGGGAGTCTTGTTCTTTATGTTCTGCTGCCCCCATAAGCTTATTCCCCACAGGATTATTTTGTTTTAATCACTTTTCTGTTATTGCTGAGTGGACATCAGCTGATGAAAGAAAGTTGCAGCCTAGTAGAAGTAATATACTCCTCGGTCCATCCCCTATTTTCCTCTTGTTTTTTCAGAAAAGTATTTTTTTTTGGGGGGGGGAGAAGCAAAACATTAATCAGGAACAAGATAGACACTTGCTTCATTCTACGTGGGAGGTGCCGTAATTAAACCTTGCCATGCCAATGCCTCCTGGGTAGTGCCTCTTAAAATCCTGGCAACCAAGGCAGCAATTACAGTAACTGAGGCTTGTTTATTTTACTAGAGCTGCATCTTGGGGGTTTATTTTTGTCTGCCAAGAGATAATTCAATGCACCATTTTTTTCCTCTCTCTCTCTCGAACAAAAGTGCATTAAGAGTCTTATCGCGGTTGCCGTGTTCTTGGAGGCCATTACTGGACATTCAAGCCCACAGCAAATCTTCGCTTAAGGTAGTCACAGCAGCAGTTACAACTTGTAGATCTGAGCCTGCTTACCTGTTCTTTGGTACCTGTTGGCAGTGTCATTAGACAGTGTCATCTCTAGTGACTGGTATGACCTTCCTTGAGATGTACAATAGAGAGACATTTGATCGAAGGGAGCAGAAGTTACATACTCTCCTGCTTTTTCTCTCTCTCCTCTTGGAGAATAATCATTGTTAATCATTGTTAGGGCTAGACCTAAGGAAACCCTAGTTGTAGCATCCCCATTTTAAAATAATTATGGATTCATTATAACCTGGAGACTGGATAGATAGCCCTTCAAATAGAAGTGCATTTTCCATCTACAGAATACTCCTCAACAGACCTTATTCATTGTTGTAACTCTAATGTATCACATCATCATGTTTGTTATAGTTACTCCATCTTTCCTCTGGACTTTTGTGACTTTTCTCCATGTTCCTACTCCACTTTTCTAACTGGTTTGTAACTGGAAATGAAGTTTTCCCACAAAGTTGATAAAAGGACCAAAGTAATATATGTGGGTTGGTTTTTTTTTTTTCATAATAGACCTCTGGGAATATTAAGCATTGTATTTCCCTCTCCTCTTTTTCTTTCTTTCTTGAGAAAACAAGCA